TTTTTTTTGAGACAGAGTCTCACTTTGTCACCCAGACTGGAGTGCAGTGGTATGATCATAGCTTATCACAGCCTCGACCTTCCAGGATCAAGCAATCCTCCTATTTCAGCCTCTCAAATAGCTGGGACTATAGGCCTGTGCCACCATGCTTGACCAATTTTTAAATTTTTTGTAGAGGGGTCTCGCTATGTTACTCAGCCTGGTCTTGAACTCCTGGGCTCAAGTAATCCCCATTCCCCTGGCTCAGCCTCCCAAATACAGGCATGAGCCACCACACCCAGCTATGTATACTTCTTATGTATTGCTGAATTCTATTTGTAAACATTTTGTTAAACATTTTTTGCAACGAAATTCATGAGGATGGGGGGTGAGTGGGGACAAAAATAAAGAAAAAAAAAAACAGGAAATTCATGAGGATGTTGGTCTGCAGTTTTTTTTTTTGTACTGTCTTTATCTGGTTTTAGTATCAGGATAATACTAGTTTCTTAAAATGAACTGAGAAATTGTCCTTCCTCTTTATTTTCTGTAAGAAACTGTGTAGAAATGTTAACTCTTCTTTTCTTTTTTTTCTTTTTTTTTGAGATGGAGTTTCACTCTTGTTACCTAGGCTGGAGTGCAATGGAGCGATCTCGGCTCACCGCAACCTCCGCCTCCTGGGTTCGGGCAATTCTCCTGCCTCAGCCTCCTGAGTAGCTGGGATTACAGGCACGCGCCACCATGCCCAGCTAATTTTTTGTATTTTTAGTAGAGACGGGGTTTCACCATGTTGACCAGGATGGTCTCGATCTCTTGACCTTGTGATCCACCTGCCTCGGCCTCCCAAAGTGCTGGGATTACAGGCTTGAGCCACTGCGCCCGGCAACTCTTCTTTAAACAAAGAATTATTTGGTAGAATTCTCTAGTGAAGCCATTGGGCCTGAAGACTTCTCTTTCGGGAGTTTTAAACCTATTTCCTATTGGTTAGTTATTCAAATGATCTCTTTTATTTCAAGTGAGTTGTGGTAGTTTGTGTTTTTCGAGGAAGTGGTCAGTTTCATCTAAGTCTGTCAACTTCATATGTGTAGAGCTATTTGTAGCATTGCCTTATTATCCTTTTGATGGCTGCAGGGCCTGGAGTGATACTCCTTGTTTCATTCCTGATGTTATAGCTTCTCTGTTTTTTTGGTCAATCTTGCTAGAGGTCTGTCCTGGGCTCAAGCAATCCTACTATGTATCTCAGCTTCCCACGTAGCCGAGACCACCACACCCAGCTAATTTTTTTTTTATTGTTTGTAGAGACAGGATTTCACCATGTTGCTCAGACTGGTCTTGAACTCCTGGCCTCAAGCAATCCACTTGCCTTGGCCTCCCAAAGTGCTGGGATTAGAAATGTGAGCCACCACACCCAGTTAATGTTGTCTTTTTAAAAAAGAGACAAGGTCTTGCTCTGTTGTCCAGCCTGGAGTGCAGTGACGTGCTCACAGCTCACTTCAGCCTCGAACTTCTGGGCTCAAGTGATCCTTCCCCCTCAGCCTCCTGAGTAGCTGGGACTACAGGCATGCACGCCATGCCCAGCTAATTAAAAAAATTATTTTAGAGATGAGATCTTGCTATGTTGCCTAGGCTGGTCCTGAACTCCTGACCTCCAGAAATCCTCCTGCCTTGGTCTCCCAAAGCACTGGGATTATAGGTGTGAGCCACTGTGCCAGCCTGTGTTGTAATTTTGCCAGTTCCAGTGAAGCACAGGCCTCACCTCCTTTTATGTTCCTTTACCTTTGCCTTTCTATAATTATCTTTTTGTTTTGAGATGGAGTCTTGCTCTGTCACCCAGGCTGGAGTGCAGTGGTGCCATCTCGGCTCACTACAACGTCCACCTCCCGGGTTCAAGTGCTTCTCCTGCCTCAGCCTCCTAAGTAGCTGGGATTACAGGCGCGTGCCACCATGACTCGCCCAACTATCTTAAATACTTCCTTTATGTACATTTTGAGCCACATCAGGTATTGCTATGATTTTTGATTATGCTATCAAACATAATTCAGAAAACTCTAGAGGAGGAGGAAAGCCTATTGTATTTGGTGACAAATCCTTAAGTTTTCCTTCATCTGAGAATGATTTGATTACTTCTTCATTCCTGAAAGATATATTCACTGGGTATAGGATTCTGGCTTGCCACTTTTCTTTGAGTACTTGAAAAATATTATGTCCCTTTATTCCGGTCTTTCTGGTGTCTGCTGAGAAATTCACTGTCATTCAAATTCTTTTTCCCTTACTGGTCAAGTGTCATCTCTCTCTGACTGCTTTCAATAATTTTATCTCATTTTTAGAAGTCTAATGATGTGTCTTTGGCAGGGATTTCTTTGGGTTTATCCTATTTGGGGTTTGCTCAGTTTCTTGATTCTGTATGTTTATGTGTCTTGCCAAATTCAGTAATTTTTTTTTTTTTTTTTTTTTTTTGAGAGAGTCTTGCTCTGTGGCCCAGGCTGGAGTGCAGTGGTACGATCTTGGCTCACTGCCACTTCTGACTCCCGGGTTCAAGCGATTTTCCTGTCTCAGCCACCCAAGTAGCTGGGATTACTGGCAAGTGCCATTATGCCCAGCTAATTTTTGTATTTTTAGTAGAGAAAGGGTTTCACCATGTTGGTCAGGCTGGTCTTGAACTCCTGACCTCGTGATCCGCTCACCTCAGCTTCCCAAAGTGCTGGGATTACAGGTGTGAGCCACCACATCTGGCCAAATTCAGGAAAATTTTTAGTCATTATTTCTTCAAGGACTTTTGCAGCCTGTTATCTTCTCTCTTCCAGGGATTTCAGTGAAACGAATGTTATATCATGTGTTATCATCTCATTGGTCCCTGAAGCTCTACTTTAAACCCCATTCTAGTTCTCTGTGGTCTGGATTTCTATTCTGTCTTTCGGCGCATAGATTTCTTTCCCCGTCCTCCCTCCTCTTCTACTAAGCCCATCCACTGGGCTTTATATTTTGGCTACTGCAGTTGTTAGTGCTACAATTTCCAATCGCCATTTGGTTCTTCTTTCACATTGTCTCTCTCTTTGCTGATACTTTGTTTCACTTGTTTCCAGTATGTTCACAATTTCTCACTGAAGCATTTCTACTGTGTCTGCTGTGAAATATTTGTTAATCATTTTAATATCATCATCTCAGTGCAGGCATATATTGGTTATTACTTTTCATTCAGTTTGAGATCTTTCTAGCTCTTGGTAGGATGAATGATTTTCACTTGAAACCTGGACATTTTTTCCTTACATTATGAAAGTCTAGATCTTATTCAAGCTTTCTGGTTTTGCTGGCTTTTTCTGACACTGCACTGGCAGGAGGAGTATGCCACTCATTCCTGCCAAGTGAAGCAGAAGCCTAGGTTTCTTTTTATTTTTTGAGACAGAGTCTTATTCTGTCACCAGGCTGGAGTGAAGTGGTGCCATCTTGGCTCACTGCAGCCTCTACCTCCTGGGTTCAAGCAATTTTCCTGCATCAGCCTCCCGGGTAGCTGGGATGACAGGTATGCGCCGCCACACCTGGCTAATTTTTATATTTTTAGTAGAGATAAGGTTTCACCATGTTGGCCAGGATGGTCTCAAACTCCTGACCTCAAGTAATCCACCCGTCTAGGCCTCCCAAAGTGCTGGGATTACAGGCATGAGCCACTGCGCCCGGCCAACGTCTAGATTTCTTACTTGGCTGGTGCTGACACCCAACGGGAGGATGCTCCTTGTGACCGGCATGTGTGGGTCCAAGATCCCTATATATGGTCTCTGCTGACACCATGGGGGGGTGTCTCATTACCGGCTGGTTGGGGTGGAAGTCCTGATTCTCTACCTGGCCTACTTGACACACCCGGCGAGGGTGTGGAGTGCCTCGTGACAGCCTGTATTGGTGGAAGTCTGGGTTTCCCGCTGAATCTTTGCCAGCGTCGATAGGCGCGGCAGCACAACTACTCTGTAGTGCCTGGCTGGAGTAAAGCTGCTGTTGACTGAAGGTCTTCTGTCTTGCTAGGCCACTCCTTTCCTGGTCCGCTGGCTGGAAAGGACAGGCTTTGCTTGGGCATTTTTGTGTCTGCCCTTCCTGGCATTTCAGGTTTGCCAGCTTCCTCAGCACTGTGTGGGATACACAAAGCAAAAAGAAAACCCAGGGAACTCATCCCATGCTGCTCCTGTTTTTCTCTCTTGGTAAGAAGTTTCTAACAAAAAGTGTAGTGGGGGCAACAAGTAATTTCCCAGTTAACATGTCACTGTATGTAGAGGGGACACAGGAGCTATCAGAAAGAAGACCAGGGTGCTTCCGTGTGGCCCTGCTGATCTCCAAAGTTAAAACAGCAGCAGGCCTCAGCTACGAAGGGTCCAACAGTTCTCTCTCCAGTGGGCTGGGCCAAAATCACAAAGGGAATTGGATGCTTTGAAGCAGTTAAAAGAAACGGAGATTTCCTTCATTGCTTTCAATCATTCCCAGAGAGACTGCAGGTCCCGTGAGTCCTCAGCATAAAATCAGTCAGTGGAGCCAGTTGTGGCAAAGCAGCAGCATGGACTCTGCTACAGAGCCCCCACGAGACAAAAAAACGGTGCCACGGTTCTTTACAATGTCACTGCTCTACAGACAGATGACACGGCCAGTAGGTCAGAGACTTTAACTTTCTTCCTTACCCTGGTCTGAAATTCTGTTCTTGTCCACCTCCAAACAGCATGGGGTAGAGAAGGGTACAGCCACCAAGTCCTCGTACATACAGTGCGCCAATCCTGGGACCATAAAACTGGGAGGAAGAGTTGGCCATTTATTCAACCAGAACTTTCCAACGACCGAGTCTGTATACGTGCTAAGTGCTTAGGGCACACAGGAGATATATATACTCTGCAATGCACAGTCCTGCTGCTTCCTTGTGGCGCCTCTACGTGCCACCCCTTTTGACAGAGAGTCAGAAAAGCCTTAAGGGGCAGGGTGGAACCCCAGCCTAGGAGGCAGCACAGGTGCGGACTCGTTCCCAGCTCTGCGGCAGGCAGATCTCCCCCGCACATCACGTGACAGGACTTGTAAACGGATCTCAAATCATAAGAATCACAGGTAAAAAGAAAAAGAGAATGCATACATACAGGGGGCTGGAGCCAGTGCCTGCCCAGGGCTTTTCCTGCAAATGATTCCATGCTTCCAATTGACACGATGCAAAACTCAAGTGCCACACTGTCAGGCCAGCATAGACATGCCTTTGGAAACCAGCTTAAGACTGTGCTTCAAAATTGAGTACTAAAAATATTTCAGGCCCTGGTCAGCAGCCAGAAGATGTGCAAACTTCTCCCAAGGGTTTTTACTGTTAACTGTTTTCCCCACACCCCACCTTAAAGATGGTTGCTGAGGAGCCGCATCTGAATTGAGGTGGAGAAAACAACCATTTCCTGAACCCATACCTTCCGCCCCATGCCCCCTGCAGAGACACCTGCTGCCTGGTCAGACCCTCTGCCTTACTCTCCCTGCCTCAATGTCTCCTCCCTTAGCGTCGCCTACCGCCCCAACCCTACCCTATCATCCCTGTCACGGCATTCGCCCTGGCATGCTGGCCATGTGGGGCTCCCCTCTTAAAGCTCCTGAGGACAGGGATCCCGTGTTGCTCCTCATAGTGCCCCCAGTGCCTGGCTGACAGTGGGCAGTGAGGCTTACGGGACCGAGGACTGAACAGCCACATGCGCAGCAGGCTCTGCCCAGAGGGAAGAAGCCTCTGCAGATGTACCTTGTGCCCCACGATTGTAAGGAAGTCCACACCCAGGTCCTCCACATCCACGCGCCGCTTCCCCAAGGCCTGTGCAGCATCCGTGTGCACAAGGATGGGAGGCAGCCCGGCTGCTGCCCGTTCCTGGTTCAGGGCTTTAATGCGCTGGCTGATTTCAGGGACAGGCTGACGGGGAAAGGAAACAGTTGAGTATGTTGCTCCAATCTGATGAAAACTGAATGACAGAAATCAGGAGTAGGGAGCACAGGCCAAATGTTATCAAACTGAACAGAGAAATGGCAGAGGCCAGAGCTGGGAAACCTGAAACACCACGAGATTCGAAGCCCCTGTTCTTCCCCATGAGCTCTCCTTACAGGGAAACAGAGGCCGACTCACCATGATGACACCAGTCTCATTGTTGGCCAGCATGATGCTCACGAGGCGTGTGGTTGGGCGGACGGCTGCAAGGATGTCGTCCACCTCTGCCCGCCCGCTCGCCTTGGACACCGGGACAAAGGTGACCTCTGGGAACAAACACAAGTGCCGAAGTGAGCTGCACAAATGGATTCCTCTTGAAACTTCATTCCAACAGAGCTTAACAAAACTGTTTTCCACAACTATCAAAGCCATTTCCTGTCCACGTTCAGAAGACGATAAAGAAGAATATAAGTCGCCTGTCATCGCTGTCGGGTGTTTCAGTGTGAACGCGTCTAACGTGGCTGCAGTCAATCTGTGTGGTGGAACCTACATGTCTTTCTGCTTCTATGGGGACCAAAGGGGAACTGGCAACAGGGACACAGGCTCTTGCTTTAGGGGAGAGTCCTAGCGCACTGCACCTCCCTGCCAAGCGCTCGGCACCGAGCCAGTGCTGATGAAGCCGCTCCTATGCACCAGATGTTCCATCTCCTACTGCAGATGGAAAATGGGCAGAGGTGACTACATTGTTTAGCTCTAGTGCTTTCAGTTTAAAACGGTGAAAAACAAATGTATCCACTGCCTGCTCAGGGTCCTACTGAAACGAAAGAGTAAACAACTACTTCTCGGAGGAAGAATCAAATCAAAACAACATCGACAAAGGGCATTTGGCCAGGCACAGTGGCTCACTTTGGGAGTACTTTGGGAGGCCGAGTTGGGCAGACTGCTTGAGCCCAGGGGTTCAAGACCAGCCTAGGCAACATAGAGAGACCACTGAGATTATGCCACTGCACTCCAGCCTGGGTGACAGAGTAACACACCGTCTAAAAAAAAGGGGGGGTGGTGGTATATAGACTAGCAATTTGGAGGAGTCCCTAAAATGCAGAAAGATGATGGCATTAGATTAACAGGGAAAAATCACCTAAAACACTTAAAGGCAAATCTGAAAGGATCCAGTGGCCACCCAAGTTCAGGGTGGACAGTGGGAAGTGCACGGCAGGGGCCAGCTACCAAGGCCAGCGGAGGACCCAACGTGCAAGCCTCAGACTGAGACAGCACGGCATGCCCAGAGAGGAACGGCAAGCACAAGACGGGCTCCCAGGATGGGGGAACGGGCTTGAAAGGGGGAAGGAGATTGAGGTATCTGCTGGGGGACTTAGAGGAGCAAAGCAAAGGCAGCTCCAACCAGGGAAGTCACAGAGAAAAGTGGGCGGGGTCCTCCAGGCTTTCCAGGCTCTGCTGCCACCACCTTATGCAGAGCCCATCGTGGGCCCTCACTTCCTGCGAGACACCTCCTCGGGAAATGCATTGAGAATTGGAGATGAACCCTCCTTAGCCCCTACATCAAACAATGAAATGCTTCATCCATCCACAGGGACAATCCAGGATCCCCAAGCCCGAAGAAGAACCAGGATGAACAGGTAAATGACTGATTGTAGATCACACAGGAGCAATCCCAGGGACAGGAAAACTAAAAAAAAATTCCAGCTGATTATCTTCACAGATATTCAAGATGTTCAAGATGACTTAGGTTCTGCAGAGAAATAATTACGTTCATGAAATAAATGTCCATTATCAGCCTTTCATTTATTCAACTATAAAAAAAGATCATTAAAATATAGTTACAAAATAAAATGTAATTATTTTTAAATTTAACCATCATAAAGCTTAACCACAAAAACATATTTGGCCAAAACAGACTGAAAGGAGGAGGCGAGGGGATAACGGACGGGTGCACTCATTTCCTCCTCTGTTAGTGACTCATATCTCTCAAGTTGATAATTTAGGAAATCCAGGTTAAAATACAGTATTTAAAAAGTAACAGGGGAGGGATGGTTTCCAGAATGGTCAAGGTACTCCACCTCCTCCCTCTCCAGCACGGCAGCCGTAACTGGTGAAACAATCAACCGCTTACAGTCTCTGGAAATTACAGCCTCAGGGCACACAGCAAGTGAAGTAGTAGCTATTCAAGAAAATCAAGGAAATCTAGATGAGAACAGTGAGTCTATGGCACCTGAGCCCATCCAGCTCAGTGTGATGCAAGCTCCACTCAGCTGGGCACTGCCTGCCAAGGGATTCTCTCTACCCGGGCATCGGTCAAGGGCTACGGCACAGAGGGGCAGCTGCCAGCACCTCTCACCCCACCTCCCAGGTCCAAGTTGCAGGGTCTAAGCCCCAGGAGGGTGAGGCCAGGAGGTGGGGCTCTCTCCCTTCCTCCAGCACCCACCACAGGGAAGAGGCACAGGGGTCGCAGCCCACGTGGCCAGGGCTGGTGCCCTGACTGCCCTCACTCCAGAAGAGATAAGCTGAGAAGCCCACAGCTATCGCCTTTACACAGAGCTCTGCCTGTAAAGTGTGTGTGTGGAGCAGGGACACTCAGAGACAAGCGGGCCACAGTCACTGCCCCACCCACTCTCCAGGGAAGTGACTGAGAGATTTTGCCAAGGGTGAGATAGAACAAGGAGTTCTAAAGCTCTCTGCAAAAGAAGTGACTTTATTCAGAACAGAGTGTGGGGAAGTTCAAGCCCAAGGGTGGAGACCCAGACGGCAACTGAGAAGCTGGTAGTTCCATGGCAGCAAAAAGCTAAACTGCAGGACAACAAACTCCCAAGACTTCACAAAGATGATACTGCAAAGGGCCCCACATGTAACCAGATTAGACTCTGGAGGAATTTATGCCCCAGAGCATTGTCAAAAATAACAGAGCAATCAGTTCACAATTACAGGAGCCTAACAGCCAGGCAGACAGCTGAACAGAGAAACCAGGGACAGGAACAACCAAGAGAGACCTTCTTGCCCATTGTCACCTCAAGTGAGCATGCACTTGCCAAGGCTGCACCCTGAGGCTTGTGAAGTCAGAAGCTTCACAATGCTGGGGAAACAGATCTCATTAAAACAGCTCAGCCAGGCCACTAGACAGACAAGCAAGCAACAAAAACCACTAGGACAGGGAGGAAGAGGGGAATCCATATCTAGGGTTTTAAAAATATATGACAAGTACAGTTTTCAACAAAAAGTAACAAGATGTGCAAAGAAACTGGAAAGTGTGAAAAAGCAGGAAAAAAGGCATGTGACAGAAACTGCCTGCGACCATGCTTAAAGAGATAAAGAAAAGTATGATGACAATGGCTCATCAAATAGAGTCTCCTCAAGATAAACGAGAGAAATTATGAAAAAGAACCAAAAGGAAATTCTGGAGTTGGAAAGTACAATTGATATGAAGAATTCACTGGAGGGGCTCAACAATATATTGGAACTGACAGAAAATACATTCAGTCGACATTAAGGTAGATTTACAGAGATTATGCAATCCAAATACAAGAGAGGAAAAACATGAGAAGGACAAACAGAGCCTCAGAGAAATGTGGGATACCATAAGGCACCAAATATGGAAAACAGGAATAGCAGAAGGGCAGGAGCAAGAGAAAGGGGCAGAAAACGTCTCTGAAGAATAATGGCTGAAAATGTCCCAAATCGATGGAAAACATTAATCTACATACCCAAAAGGCTCAATGAATTCCAGGTAGGATAAAACACAAAGACATTCACTCCCAGACACATGATAATGAAAATGTTGAAAGACAAAGGAAGTATACTGAAATTAGCAAGAGAAAAATCGCTTGTCATATCTAAGTGAACTCCAGCAAGATTAACAGTTGAATTCTCAACAGAAACAATGTTTAGATGGCTGGTATGCTGATATTCAAGTGCTGAAAGAAAAAGAGTCAACCAAGAATCTTATATCTAAAAAAACTATCTTTCAAAAACGGTGGCAAAATAGAGATTCCAAGATAAACAAAAATGGAGAAAAGACATTGCTAGTAGCCGGCCTGCCTTATAATACAAAAGGAAGCTCCTCGGGCCAAAAGCAAGTAACGCCAGGCAGGAATGTGAATCCATATGAACAAAAACAAGGAGGACAGCAAAGGGAATTATTTAATTATAAAAGGCAGTATATAGCGAGGCGTGGTGGCAGGTGCCTGTAGTCCCAGCTACTTGGGGGGCTGAGGCAGGAGAATTGCTTGAACCCGGGAGGTAGAGATTGCATGAGCTGAGATTGCGCCACTGTACTCCAGCCTGGGTGACAGAGAGAGATTCCATCTCAAAAAACATAAAGGAAAAAAACAGTAGTGTAACTGTATATTGTTTCTCTTAACTGATTTAAAAGCAACTGTATAAAATAACACGTATATAATTATGCTGTTAGGGCAATAACACACAGTATTTGATAATAGCACAATGGAGGTGGGAGGGAGCAGAACCGTCTTGGATTAAGGAAAGGACACCAGATGCTAATTCAGATCCATGGAACAAATGAAGATCATGTGAAAAGGCAGCTAAGAAGGCTCCTCGAACACAATGTATAAATATATGCTTGCTCTTTCTTCCCTTAGCTTCCTTAAAAGACAAAAAAAGTGGCCAAGTGCAGTGGCTCATGCCTGTAAGCATTTTGGAAGGCTAAGGCAGAAGGATCACTTGAGCCTAGGAGTTCAAGACCAGCCTGGGCAACATAAGGACACCCTGGCTGCACAAAAAATAAAAAATTAACAGGTACATTGAAATGTGCCTGCAGTCCAAGCTACTAGGGCTTGGACTACTACTCTTGTCTCAAAAAAAAAAAAAAAAGAAAAGTAAAAAAAACCAGACATGAAGCTAACTAAAATGATATTTGTGGCTGGGTACAGTGGCTCATGACTGGAATCCCAGCATTTTGAAAGGCCGAGATGGGCAGATCACTTGAGGCCAGGAGTTCAAGACCAGCCTGCCCAACATGGAGAAACCCTGTCTCTACTAAAAATACAAAAATTAGCAGGACATGGAAGTGCACATCCATGATCCCAGTTACTTGGGAGGCTGAGGCACAAGAATTGCTCAAGCCTGGGAGGCAGAGGTTGCAGTAAGCTGAGATTGTGTCACTGCATTTCAGCCTGGGCGACAAGACTCTGTCTCAAAACAAACAAAAGATTTCAAGTCATAACACCATAACTAATCTTTCACCTTAAGACACTGGAAAAAAAGGAACAAACCAAACCTAAAACAAGTAGAAGGAAAGAATAACCTATTTATGCCTAGTGTTCCATTATTGGAACACTAAGCTTGTGGGAATTAT